AGTCGTGGCTACACAGCGCAGAGGGGAGCACCTGCGGCCAGGCAGAAGCCAGCACCCCTGGACACAGATGTCCTCACGCCCTCACACCCAACCTTGACGCTTGGGTAGAAGCGTTTCTGGAGGCTGCATACCCCATAGGGATCTTTACGTGGCCGATGATCGACAGCTTGAGCAGGAAAGGACAAGGTGTGTTGGACAAAAGTGTGTCAGGTGACTCACATGGGGTTGTGTCCATGCCGATGCAAGCACGCCAAACCCCTGAGTGGCTTATTTTATATGTGATTATAAACATGTATGTAGGACCCAAGAACGCACTACTTACTAATGAGCTGGCATTGGACAATTTCATCCACACTTATCAAAAGTGCTTATTTTCAAATCGGTCACACAGTCCCCTTTTTTGTGGTCTTCTCTTTGGAAAAATGGAGGCGCCCTGTATAGTTCAGCGTGGCTTGAATTTAGAGCATGTGTGAATGTGTTTGTTTTGGTATTTTATGTGTTCATGAGTTTTTGTATATTCATGTGTTTGTGCATTTATGTGTTTGCCTGCGTGTTTGTGTGAGAGTATGTGTTTGTGGTGTGTCTTTGTGCATTTGTGCGTTTGCCTGTGTTTGTGTGAGAGTATGTGTTTGTGGTGCATCTTTGTATGTGTGTTTCAGTGTGCATGTGTGTGTCTGCCCATGGGTGTTCGCTGAGTGTGGGGGTGGCGTGGCACATTCAGCAGGGATGGCTGGTGGGCAGTAGCCTGGGGCCTGGCGACCGACTACGGGTGAGGAGCGTGGGGGGACGTGGAGACTATGGCCAAGCTTCTGGTTCAGAAAACAAAGTGGCTTGTGATGTTGTCACAGAGACCGCATCACTGGGCTGGGGGCAGGTTAGGGAGCGAAGGTCAACCAAAGCTGGGCCAAGCTGAGTTTGAGGCGTCTGAGGCACATCTGTGCAGATGTCTATCTCAGTATTTGCGGAGTCTGGGCATTGGGGATGGAGCCCTGGGGATGCCTGCATCCAGCAGGCAGGGGACGGGGCTGGTCCAGGCGGGGGTGTGGGGCGCAGGGGAGAAAGTGAGTAAGCAGGGAGAGGAGACACAGGGTAGGGGCCACTGCATCGGTGCTGCCCAGAGGGACAGCCCTGACCCCGAGCTGGGGAGAAGGCGGTCTAGGCGGGTGGTGGGGGATGAGGCGGCCGGCCATCGGCAGGGGCAGCTGCTCTGGGGCCCTGACCCCAACCACCCCCGCCCTCCCTGGCTTTCATTCCTTGCCATTCAGGAAGGGGAGGGATGAGGAAGCAAGCGGCCAGGCTGGGCCGCCTGAATGAAAGCCCCAGGGGCCTTGGCACACATTGGACCCTCTCCTCTGAATCCTATGCTGTTCTGGGGCTTAATTAACGAAGAGCTCAGGGGCACCCCTCTCCCTATTCAGAAAGGACTCCATGGAAACTTCTCACAGGTTCCTTCGGCAGGCTCTGGCTAATGGGGCCGCCCCTCCGGGCTGTAACGGACCGGCTGGGTTCCCAGCATGTAAATGGACAGTGCTGGCCCGAGGCCAGCAGCCCGCACCCCAGCCGGCAACGTGGACCTCTTCCTCCTCCTCATTCAATGACTTCAGCTCAGCAGCAGTGCTGAAAGGAACCAGGGATCGGATTTTGACATTTTCCCCCATATTCCCTGGTGACTTTTAAAGAACCCAATATTTAAAGTCATCTTGGCAAGGGCCTGGGGGTGACTTGCCGTAAGAGTCTGTAAGGACTCCTTGTGGGCCAGGCTGTGTGCTGCTTTCAGACTGACAATTCCCAAGAGCCGAAAGCCAGTGGCAGGAATGGGGAGGGGGGGGCGTGCGTGTGTGTGTGCATAGGTGTATCTGTGTGCGGACCCACATATCCATGTGTTTGTCTACACCTTGCTGGCCGGGGGCCCGAGGCTGGACCTCACTGCACTCTCTTGCCAGCTCCAGCTGAGACCCCTACCCCTGGAGGCGGCCTCTGTGTGGGTGGACCCCAGGCTCTGGGGAGAACGTGCAGGGGAGGGCCCGTGACGGGGGAAGGGGACTGCCACGCCCTGCTCCCTGATGTAGACTCCTTGAGGCCCAGGCCGCTCCTTGACAAAGCGTGACGCCTTCCAAACGAGCCATTTGCCCACAAGACCCACGGTGATGGGGCATGGGGTGGACTCGGGCAAATGCCGGAGGCAGCCAACAAGTCCCTGGAGGGGCTTCCAGCAGATTCCAGGGGGCCCTAAGGGCCCGGCAAGCAGCTGCATGCAAGCAAAGCCGTGTGCAGCAAAATCCTGGGAAGCGGCCTCCCCAGAGATCAGCTCTCTTCAGTCACTGGATGTTGCATTCCTGTCGATGATTCCTTCCTGCTCCTCAAGCAAAAGTTGAGTGGAATTCGGGGAGATGCAGTGGGCCGGCAGGGAAGAGGGACGGGGCGAGGCGTGATAGGGGGCAGCGGCGGGCTGGAGGCAGAACCCTTCTTCCAGCGGGCCCTCGATGCCTGAGCTGGTGCTGCCACCCAAGCAAAGGGCCGGAGGCCCAGGAAAGGCACATTTCTAAACCACACTGGCCGACGGGTTTGCGCAGCGTGGGCGACAGCGTCACTCCCCTGGGGGCCATTAGAAGTGGTAGGATTTATGGGTTAACCAGACAAGTACCCGTAAAACCACCGTGATTGACAAAGGCCAGTCATGAGTAGCACAATCTGAAACTGTATCCTGTCCCAAGAGTCATGTATGCATGATGCATAAGCTTGGAATAATTCTAAATAAAAATGCAGAAGACCCCGGGATCCAGCCCTTCCTCTCCTGAGCCACACGATGGTGCCTGGTTCCCACATGGTTTTTGAGGACACTGACCCGGCCGGGATCCATGCTAGTGAGCTGCTGGGAACTCAGTGAGGTGGGGGCCCGGAGGGGTAGCCCGCCGGACCCCCAGTCCTCAGAGACATCCCTGAGCCCCGTGACAGCAAACCCTGCTCCAAAACCACAGCAGGAGCTTGGAATGAGCTCAGGCGGGTTCTACGGAATTTAAATTGTGTTTAGATCCTGAAGGGTAGTGGGCTTTCTGCAGAGGGTATTTATTTCTTGGAGTCACAGAAAGCCCTGCTGTGTTCACCCTGGTAGACGAGCTAGGTTGGCCTCATGCAGCTGGTCTTCTTGCGGGGACGGAGGTTTTTGGTTGGAAGGGCCGAGAGCATTCGTGAGGAAGACAAAACGGACGCTCTGGGCCAGGACGGCCAGCACCCATAGTCAGGGCCGGGCGTCCATTTCACAGAGTCCCTCCTTCGCTCGCAGAGGAACGAGCAAACAAAACCCCAGAAGCCCCATGGAGCTGCCCTGTAACGACCTCCCCAGCCCTGGAGGCCTGCGGGGCTCTTCCCCTCCTTGCTGGGGGCGGGGGGCGCCTCCCAGCCCGCATCCCTCTCCTGGGTCGCTCTCTGCAGAGAGAGTGGCAGCAGCGCGCCCTGAGAACCTCCTGCCACCTGGCTTGCCCCACGGCACGCGCCTCCCGTCTGCCCATGGTTTGGCGAGCTGGTCCCGCCCCGTGGTCTTCCCACCGGCACCTGCTTCCCCCTGCCCTTTCTCCTCAGCCCACGCCTGCTGGGTGGGTATGGACCGAGGGCTGCGGAGGCCACGGCATGGCCTGGACTCTCAATCGCCTGGCACCTTCAGAAATGTCCGTCCCTGGCTGCTGGGCCAGGGTCTCCCCCATGACCTGGGCGACAGGAACAGCATCTTGATGGCCAGGCCAGGTCAGTGCATGCATCCCGGGGAGTGCCTCCGGGGCCCCTGGACAGCCCTGCTTCGGGAGGGTGGGTGGCCGCGGCCTGGAGCCACCCCTTCCTGCGGCCAGGGTGCTGGCACGTGCTCTGCCCCACAGTGACCGACCATGGCCGCGCCGGGTCAGCTGAGTCAGGGCACTCGGAGGGTACTTGGGACGGAGAGGCGGCAGCTTCTCCGAGCCCAGCTACCTACGCAGCCTGACCGCAATCGGTTCTGCACCATGGGTCCCAGCTGACGCGCAGGTGCCGTGACAGCCGGGGCAGAGTGAGCCACGCGGGTCCCTGGACCTCCCCCCAGAAGGGCAGTGACCTGTGCCTCTGGGGTGCTCAGTGCCTTCCTTCTGGATCCCCTTGCCTTCCGTCTTCCCGGGCTTCAGCGGGGACTGGCCCCGGGGTGAGCAGGCACAGCAGGCAGGGGTCCTCGGGGCCCCTCTCCGGCCCTGCCCTGGCCTGTTCTGCCGCCGCGGAGCCCCAGCCCCACGCCCGGGCCCTGCAAGCACGCCGGTGCCTGGGGTTCTCCACGGGGAACTGCAGGGTCCCAGAGCCGCAGGACAGGCCGCCCCTCGGAGGGTGTGCACGATGGACATCGGCTCGAGTCACGGCCTGGAGGTGCCTCGGTGACCAAGCAGCTTTGAGACTGCTTGCTTTTAATAGATCAACAACATAGCACCAAAGGTGCACAGCCAAGTGTACATAGTTACAATTCTCGGGGCGTTTCCTTGGAGAACCCCAAGTGCACGGACTGACTTTGCCTTCTCAACCCTGCCTGATGCCAGGCCACTCTGGTCACGGTGCACACGCCAGCCCGGACGCCGCGTGGGGCTCCCCCTGCCCTTCCCCCGAGTGGGCCTTGTTCTCCAGGCCTGAGGCAGGGATGTCCCTATGACCTGAGCCCCCAAGGCCACCCGCTCCTCAGAGCGAAGAGTGGGCAAGAATGCCCGTAGTTTGCGTGAGGGGCAGGAGGAGATGCGTTGTGGGAGCGCACAGGCTGCGGATCCGCCTTCATCAGCCCCTGGTGCTCACCCGGCCCCTACAGACCCTGAGCTCCGAGCCCAGCACCCAAGCGAAGGGTGGTCCGGTCACTGGGGAGCAGACCCCACGGACGACACAAGCCAGGGCCAGCAACGAATTCAATCAAGTTACCAATCAGTCCAGTGGGAGAAAAAGAAAAGAGAATTGATGGAGCAGCCCACAGACCAAAGGAAGAAGAAAAGCTAAACAAGCAAGCGTCCCGGCTGAAGTTTTCTTGACCCGCTGTGTGAACAGAACCTAGCTGGGCGGGCCCCGGTGACTCCAGGGGGCCAGGCTGGGCTGGAGAGACCCTCACCCACCCGGGGTGTCGGGGGGGGGGAGTGGCGATGCAGAGTGCCCCCTGCCACACACCTAGCTGGTGCTGGAACCAGAAGCTTCCTGACCACCGAGAGGACAGCCCGAGTTTCCCCAAGAAGGACGTCGTGCTTTCCAAGCTGCGACCTCAGAAGGGCTCCAGTGGGCACGCTCAGTCCCAGCAAGAGCGAGCTTTCTAACGTCAGACACACGACCTGGGGGACATGGGCTCTAGAGGCCCTTGAAATGCCACCCAAGCCGGAGGCTTTCCATGTTACCATCAGCAAGGGCTAATCTCGCAAACAAAGGGTGAGACTCAGCTCTGGAGTGGAGCTCTGTGCGGCAGAGGCCGGGCCGCGGAGCCGGGGTGGGAATGCAGCAAGGGCCTGTGGGCTCCCCGCTGCCCCTTCCTCGGGGCCTGGGGACAGCCTGCCCCCCTGCCGGTCTCAAAAGCAAACCTGATGCTGCTTCTTAATTAGAGTTTGGTATTTTTTTAAGGCTTAATCTGCCCAGTGACAAAATCCCACCAGACTGCTTCCTGGGCATGGCAGCTCTTGAGGACAGTGCCCCGGGGAGGTGGGGACGGTGACAGGTGAAGGTCTGTGCGGAGCAGTGCAGGAAGGAGCAGCCCAAGGAGCCCGAGCCCACCTTGGGGCCCTGACATCTTCGTGTCCCGTCATGGGGGTGGGGAGAGCCTGCCCCACGCAAGCCTGTCACGTCCCTCTCTTCCGGAAGGCACGGCCCCAGCGTGTCCAGCTTGACCTACTTACTGGGTGGAGGTCGGAGCACACGGTGCTGGAGAAGATGTTGGTGGGGAGAACAAGATGCTGTTGGGTGGCTCCAGACAGAGCAGCTCTTCCCGGCTCGAGGCCAACGGTGGCCAGGAAGCTGCTACCTGGAGCGTGTGTTTGCAGGGCTCGCGGCTGGCCCCAGCCCGGGCACATGCGTCTGTCCAGCTGACCCTGAAAACCAGCGCAGAGATGAAGCAACGGCTTCAGGATTCCTACGCGAACAACCAGACAAGCGGCAAAACCAAACCAAAGAGAAAAGCCGACAAGAGCGCTGAGCTGTGGAGTAGGTAGTTCTTTCCTAACGAGATAAACTACTTTCTGATTCTGGGCACTACGTCCTGTAGAGCGTGCCCGAGCTCCGCGGCAGAGCCGGCACTGCGGGAGGGCCCAGGGCCTACGGCGGGGACGCCTTCCTCGAGGGCAGTGCCAGAGCAACGACAATCTCATCCGAGTCGTCCGAGCTGCCGTCATCCGTAGGCGGAGGCTCCGCGGGCTGTGGCTGAGGGTGCGGTCCCGAGGGAGAGGCCAGCCCTGCAAGGAAGCAGAGGGGGTCGTCACCCCAGTGGCTCAGGACGGGGCAGACCTTCAGAATCCCTGTCACAGTGGCCACAAAGCCACCTCAGCCTCCCAGCTCCGCTCTGAGCATGGCCATTTCCAAAGGCCAACACCTGCAAGCTCGAGTGCGGACCGGGTCTCTCAGGGCTGCGCGCACCGGTAAGAGCCACCTTCCTGAGACTCAGGCCCCCGGGGAGGGGACCAGGCCGTGCCCCCTGAGCGCTGTGAGCTTTCCAACAGACCCTCCCCTGCTTTCCTCACGCTCAGCCAACTTCCCAAATCCTCAGTCCACGCTGGACGGGGCGCCACCTGCTGACCGCCTGCGCCCTGAGTGCCACCTTGGCGAGTGCGGAAGGCAAGGGGGCCGCCTAGCCCCAGGAAGGGCCGCACTGTGACCGCTTGGGGACACGGCAGTCACAGGGCGGCCAGCCGCTCACTGAGGTAAGGAGGCGGAAAACCGTATAGCAGCCCTCAGGCCGAGGACTGGTCAGCTGTCCTCTGGGACTTCCAAGGAAACTATTAAAGCAGAGCCTCAGGACACTAAAACACCCGTTTCCAAGCTTATCTTGTTTTTTTCTTTACAAACACTGTCACAGTCGGACCACAAAAGGGCTGGATTCCCACTTTTCCCACAGGCCGCCTGTGGGCAACTGAGAGCGGTGTGCATGCACGCGGCCCTGCGGCCTTGCCTCTTGGCAGGGGGCACGGCTGCCCCTCGAACACAACACATGCTCAGCAGGAGGGGGCGGCCTACGTGGACAACAGTCACCAAAGGTGGGGTCGGGCGAAATCAGCACGAAGCTGGTTTCTGGAGGATGTGAGCTCTGGGGAGCCCCGAGGTTCTAGATGACGGCCCCTCAGGCTCTGTGGGCTCTGCACACCTACACGTCCTCCCCACCTGCACGTCCTCCCCCACACCTGCACGTCCTCCCCGCATACCTGCACGTCCTCCCCCACACCTGCACGTCCTCCCCACCTGCACGTCCTCCCCCACACCTGCACGTCCTCCCCACCTGCACGTCCTCCCCCACACCTGCACATCCTCCCTGCACACCTGCATGTCCTCCCCCACACCTGCACGTCCTCCCTGCACACCTGCATGTCCTCCCCACCTGCACGTCCTCCCCCACACCTGCACATCCTCTCTGCACACCTG